ATATTATTATCAATACAACATATATGTCGCGCCTTCATATCGGTCATTTTTGTTCAATAGCTAAAGTCATTTAACAATGATTCGATTGAATATATTACTAACAATTATAATTATATCAATGAAAATTGTTACAAATTCAATTTTACCAATTGTTGATCTTAAACATGAATTATTAACGGAAATTGTTGGAAGGTATGATTTAAAACTATATGAATATATTCAAAAAATTTGCCGTTTGTCTAATTGAGTTAACTTTGAATTATTAAGTTTTTTTTAGTACTATTATTTGACCTTGATAACTAGGGGTCTTTTAAATTTTTCTGTGATTATTTTTAACAGTACAAATGCTGATAAATTTTAAGACAAGAGAGATGAAAGATTTTTGTTTTTACCTATGGCTTAACAAAAGTGCACTTCAATATTATATTAAAGAGTTGATGGGACTTTCTTTCGATATTTACTGTTAGTAAAAAAAAAAAGTGCTCTAAAATTTTAACATATTCTTCAGATAAGATCTGTTTTTGTTATTTTAAGTATTTTGCATAATTTTCGATAGAATCATGAATTTTACGATTAGAAAGCGACAATCACTGTATATATATTTTGAAGATTTTTTTTGTTTTTATCAATTTTCTAAAATAATATTAGAAAACAGGTTTTTTTTTAACCCAAAATAAAATACTTCAAAATATTAGCATCAAATGGCATAAGAAAAACAGTTCTTATCGATTTTTTGATTATCTGAAGAATGATAAAATTTCAGAGTATTATTTTTTATTAACAACACACATAAATAGTTCTATATAATATTTATGTATTTTTTGCCACTACATTTGATATGTTCTCAGTACAATATGAAATTGAAATATTAGCTCTTAATAGTATATAAAATACGGTCGATATTACAATCGATTGTCATTCAGGGTTCTCATGCGTATTAATTCAAAATACAACTAAGAAATATTATTTTCACTTCAAAATTGCACCAGATACTCTGAAGTATCTCTCACAAAGTATCAGAGTTAACTACGTAGTATATAATTCACGTGATTTATTGGAAATAAGTATTCACTATTGACACGTACATAGAAAAATGAGGATGCAAAAGCAAAGATCTTCCGTTTGATCATTTAAAAACAGCAAAAACGTACTGCTACATTAATATGATTTCATACACTCACTCATACGAACTCTGATCAATTGCTAAATGTTTCAAAACTCGTGTTGTTTACATGAAGGATCATCGCCAGTATCTAATATGTACATGAGCATTGGATAGATCACTATATCTCTTAACAAATATTTAATCAATCAGAGCACATAGAAAACAATACTAATATAGCAGTCTTTAAAAAAAGTCTACAGAATTCTGTTTCTGAATTTGAATAGTATAATTTCATCTTTAGATATCGATTAGCTGCTCGACAATTACATGAAAGTCAAACAATTATACCATTTAAAATACAATTTCCAATACATGATATAATTAAAATAGATAGTTCAACAAATGAATATATATTTCGTGCAACAATTGAAATTAATTATCAATTTGAATTTCTTCAATGGGATTCAAATGATACATATAATCGTTATTATGATATTGATGAAATTATTTTAACTAAAACAATTTTACAAAATCTTTGGTTACCAAATATAAATTTAAAAGATGAAGAATTTTTATTATTTAATATTGAATATGAATCAGCTAAAATAACACGTAATGGTTATATTATATGGATACGTCGAGGTTTATTTACAATTGTATCATTAATTGATTTAACATATTATCCATTTGATCATCAATATATATGTATAAAAATATATAATAAACAAAAAACATTTAAATTACAACAAGAAAAAACTAATCTAACAAAAATAAATACATTTAATTTATGGACACGATTATTTAATAATATTGAATTAAATTCAAATGATAATTATTCATTAATATTTCAAGAATATAATCTATTAATGAAACCAATTTTTTCACGTGGTTGGTTTGTACGAACACTTGGGATTGAATCAAAAATTAATAATGAAAATTTCAATTATATAAATATATATATATTAATGCAACGTCGTCGAGAATCTCATATATATACAATTATTTTACCAACATTATTTTTTTCTATATTTATAATTATTTTTTATTTTTCATCTATTAAATCCTATCAACGTTTAATTATTGGTTTATTACATATATTAGCTACATTATTATTTATAATATATCTTGATAAAAAAATAACAGCTGAAAAATTAACATATACACCATTAATAATACGTTATTTATCAATAATATTTTTAATTGAAATTTTATCATTATTTTTTGATCATATTATACATTCAATATATCATGGTGGTATACATTTTATATCAAATTGGTTATGTCAATATAAAAATTATGATACACAACCAGCACGTTTATCACATATTAAATTATTAACACATGGTGTATATTTAAATAATACAGATAATGATGAAAATACAAATATATTAATGAAAAAATTAATTGAACGTGAAGAAACATTAAAATTTGAAGATTATCAACAATATCAATGGTATCAACAAGCATGTCTTAGTGAATGTCTATGTTGTTCATTTTTCTTAATTATTATTATTCTTGTATTTATATTCATATTTTTTATATTACCAACATTTGGTTTATCAAAAATGACTTAGATGAATTTTTATTTATATATATATTAACAGAACAAAGACAAAAAAAAATACACAAATACAGCAGAATTCGAATAAATTTATCTGATATAAGAAAAAAAACAAAACATTATTTTATTTTAGGAAATAATTTAATATCTTTTGTTAATGTTGATACAAAAACAGGAATTTGTTGACGTTGATTCATATATGGATCAGTACAATTTGAATGATAATCCATTGCAACACGACGATTAACTTTAGTTAAAATTCTTAAAAGATCCCATTCATGAGCATGATCACGTAACATATCGCATAGAGCTTGAATAAACCATGAACCTTTAAGAGAATTTCGCCAAGCATAATAACCTAAACAAAAAAAAAATTTTATATTTCAATTTTAAATGAAAAAAACAAAAAATCATTACCAGGCATTGTTGAATAAACTAATAAAAAATCAGCTTCAGCAGGTATATGTGATGCAATATTAATAACTTCATTATTATCTTTCATAGGTAATTTTCGATGAGATGTCATTACTTTTTGACCACGACATGCCTATAATATTAAAATAAATTATTATAAAAATAAAATAATTATTCTATATTTTTTTTTTGTTTTACTTGAAAAATAAAAATTTTTGGTTTACCAAGTAAACTATTAGATGATCGTTTAAATGGTTCTGTTAAAGTACTTATATTAAGTGGTTGATCTGATCCATAAATAATATCACGTTCATCTCCATGTGATAACAAAACAAAAATAAAACAATCACATTGTGAATAATCTCGTTTGGACGCTAACAAAAATTTTCAAAATAGTTTTTAAGAAAACAAAAAAAACGGTTTGTTTTACCTTGTTCAATAATTGTTAATATTTGTAATGCTGTTCGATTATGATAAACTTCTGTATCAAAACCAAGTCCAAGAAATGTTCCTTCTAATCGACTAGCATCAAGATTTGTTCCATCACGTGTATTCAAACCTAGACACAAAAAAAAAATACACTCTAAAGATAACCCTCCTGTTCTTTTGTAGGATCAAATTGAATCTGTTTAAGATCTTCGAATAACTTTCTCCGATTGAACTGAAAATTTCTTTCAAATGCTACACACTGTTTGGAGTACTTACATAGGCGGCACGGGTTAGCAATTACTACCCCAAAATAATCCACATTCCGGTAGTTATTAGAAGAGGGTTTTATTTTCTTCTGAGGCTCAACTTTCATCATATATATATAGGCGACGCACTAGCATTGTAAGCGGCAGCTATTGCTTTCCCTAAAAAAATTGAGAAAGCAGTAAAAGTATATTGCTAGGCTAAGTAGCTCATCCTTTCTTTGCATAGTAGAGTTGCCCGAGTCTCATGAATTTGTGTATTGTCATGTTGATGAATGCGTTTTGTATTATCACATTCGACAATGACATTTTAATCTTATCTAATCGTATTTTAGATTCTCTTCTTTTATAATCAGTGATGTTTTCTGCTAGATCATAACCAATAGTATACATGTAAACTGTTTCTCACCTTTCAAAGACTGATTATCTTCTATACTATTTTTTATTTTGATAAAAATAAGCAGAATATTATGTATTTCTTATTTATTTTTTTTTACAAAATTTACAATTTAGAGTTTATCAATTAATTCTTACACTTATAAAAATTTTCAAAACAAAGAGTAATTATTTAAATTTCAGACAATCTTTTACATGAGTATACGCAATAACGGTGAAGATAAAAAAACAAAGACTTTAATCTTTCCTAATTTTTTTTTTGAGCAAATCGTTTTTCAACAAAAAGGATTACACTTATTTGAAGTTCATTAGATAATTCAAACAACAAAAGTTTTACTACTGTACTGTTCATCATTGCCGGGGGAAGAGAATACAAAATAGAATTGTATAAAGCTTGTGCTGCCCATAGATATTTAACTTCTTTTTTGTAAAATCTACCAAAACATAATGATACAATATACTGTACCGAAGAAAAATGTGGACGAATTTGTTTAAGATAAAAGAAATGATCTCACCTGTATTTGGATGAAAATCTTTATTATTAATAATAATAGCTGTACCACGTTGTTTATGTCCCATAAAATATTCATCAATATCTGTAAAACCAAATTTTTCTGCTTGTAAAATACTAAAAAAGAATTTAAATATTTATTCTTTTTTTTTTTTTGTAATCTATTATACTTCATTCGAGGATGATTTCCATCAAGTAGATCATCATTTTGATTTGGCTTATTTGCCATTTTTTTTTTTAAAATCTAAAAATGAAACATGCATTATATCTATTTAATTTATTAAGACAAAAAAAAAAAATTTTGCTGTTTTTTTTTCTATTTCATGATTGACTTATAACTATTTCAAATTGTCTTAATAATAATTGTTTATATGCTAAATATTTTCTTTTAATTTTATGTATATATTCAATTTCTTCATATGAAAATTTATCAATAAATGCTCGTAACATTGATTCAGGTAAAACAAGATAATTTGATACTTCTAATGGAACTGTTTGAGATTTTCCATGTTCCATTAAATAAAATAATATATCATTTTCAAATGGACCAGCTAATATACGTAATATAAGTGGATAATCATCATTACTCATTTCAATACAATTACCATTTTGTCGTTCAACTTTATATAATGTAAATAAATTTGTATTTAATTCTTCAATAAAATGTTTTGAAAATAAAAGTGATATTGTTTCATTAACTGTTGTTTCACTATTAATATATACTGTTGTCATACTGTCTTTAGCTGGAATAAATGAACGAGCCTTAAAATAAATAAAAAACAAATAATTAAAATTTTAAAAGAAAAAAAATTTTACTTCATCATCATCATTTGATGATTGAATAAATGATGGTAATGTTACACGTAAAGTTTTTCGTTGATTTGATGATACACGAATAGTTTGAACACGTCTTAGATTTGCTATTTGATTTGAATCATTATCATCGTTTAAAGATAATTTTGTTAGAATCGTATCATCATAACATAAACGTTTACAAACTGTATCCAAATTCTAAGATAGTAAATTGAATTTGATATGAATTTCAAGACTCTCGATTGTTTTTGAGAGTGAAGGGGGGGCCTACAGTTTTTTTTTCTTTTACCAGACAGTCACTTATTTTTTTAGGAACTTTCAAAGTGATGACCGGCGGGGGTAGCGCGACGAAGATACCCTTACCCCCCCCATCCAGGGCTAAGTAAAATCTTCGAAAAAATTGTCTCAAAACAAAAATTTTTCATCGCTAATATTATCGCGTGATCAGTCGACTACAGCCGTAAAATTAAAATACTCTGAATTGATTGAAGAAAATGTATGATAGTAGTAATTTAAATACTTGAATAGAAACATTCATACAATAGAAAAAAGACAAGAATACTTATTTATTAATTGTTATTTGAAGTATCTTGTTTTATATGATTTTTTGTTGAAAAATTATTAATTAGTATTGTTAACGTACTTTAGATTGTTGTTGTTCGTTGTCATTGTCATGAAATATTTTTTCATCATTCATTTCATAAATACCCAATGATTTAGGATATAAACCTATTTAATATAATTTATTCAAAATTTAATCATTAGAATAATTACCGAGTGGTATTGATTGACCAGATTTAAGTTTAATCGGTGTTTTAATATTCCAATAAATACGAAGCATACCAGAGATATACATTTTATTATCTTTCTACAAGTAGATTCAATTGATAATTAATTTCGTTTGATGATAAATTACCTCTACAATAGTTAAATGTGATGTTTTTTTTTGATTATATTCATTATATAAATGAACTCGTTCAATAAATGATCTAATTCAAATATAATAAATAAATAAAAAAAATATTTAGAACTAAAATTTACTTCATTGATCCATAACGAGCAGTTGAATTTGTTAAAGAATCATTATTAATTAATATTTCATCTTTTTTAGAAGAATTATCATTGTTTATTGAAGATGATGATGATGATTCTAATTTTATTTTAATTATATTATTATAACAATTAACACAAAAAATATCATCATCATGCTAAAATCCAAAAAAAAAAACAAGAAAAATAGATTTATTTCATTTCAATAATTATAAACCTGTTCAAAAGCTCCTTCACCAATTGATTTATGACATTCAATACAAATAATACATCCACTATGTAAAACTTTTCCAGCTATTAATCGTCGTTCATCTAAAATTGAAATATTTTCTTTTCAAAATTTTAAGTAATCATAGAATTTTCTCCGTTTTAAAGTCTTTACAATCGCCAAAAATTTCAAAATAAGTAGTAAGAAATTCTTCATCAAATGAGAATAAGCCGATTTCTATAGCTTCAAGTGTATTATGAAACCAAAGCTTCTTGAAAATCTTATGCACACACTGTATCAAAAATTGGTTTTCGAGGTACGGATGCATTATGAGAATCTAGATGAATATCAGTCTTTGACTCGAGTTGGATCAAATATGTTTTTTTTTTCAGAAACGAAAATCATCTTAATTTTTTTTCTTCATAAGTTCAATTAGATAGCATGTATTATATCATCTTTTGTGTTACATACTAGAATTTTGGAAGACAATGGTCAGTTTTTTTTCCATCTTCGATCAAACTTGCATTTCAAATTTTAACAGTCTCAGCAACATCAGTTAGTGTGAAATGTAATTTTAGTACTCCTGGGCAAAGGATCTCCGAACATTTATAAACATTAGGTAAAAATTTGAAAGTATACTTCTTAACAAATCGAACTAAAGATTTTCAAGATAAAACTTATCATCTGATCGATAGAAAAATATTCACTATGGAATGACTTCGAATTAAACTTTCGAAGGAAATAATATTTTTGATATATTCTCACATTAAAAATCTCTACATACCATATGGTATTGGTTGTAAACAAACAGGACATTGAGCCATTCTATGCCAACGAACAACACTATTAGCGTCGTCAATAATATGTAAATCATGAAGTGAAGGGGTAGTTGAGCATTGCATAAGTAGAAAACTCAAAGCTGAAATCAGCACATAAACATAATAATCACAAAGACAAAAAAAGCATGAATCAGGTTTATTTTTATTATAATTATTATCAAACAAAAAGAAAAAAGAAATGTGAATAACAAGTTTTATTTCCTGAGAAGAATATTATATATATATATAATTTAATCAAATATACAATAACAGCAAAAAAAAAAAGAAAAACTTTTGATATAATCAATTAAGTTTTTCCACTAATACCCGAATCAGGTGAACCATAACGAATAGTAAGAAATTTTTCCTGACATGTTATTTTTTTTAATGAATTATTTATTTCACTTTTACGACTTATTATTGTTGCATTTAATAAATCATTATTATTATTATTATTATTATTACTATAAACAATTAAATTCATATCATCAGGTTCAGTTGATGGTTGAGATACTGGACTTGTATGATGTTGAATATTAATTGGTGATGAATTTTCTTGTTCATTTATTGTTGTTGTTGTTGCTTCACATAAACGACGATCAAAATCAGATGCATGAAGTATAGGTTTACGATTTCGTGGTCGATTTGCAGCTGTTGATGTTGAACGTGGTGAAAAATGTGCTTCATTTTCTTCATCATTATTATCATCATCTTCAATTTCTTCACTTGATGTTGATTCTTGATGATTATCTGTTGTATGTAACCATTCATGTTGTTGTTGTTGTTGTCGATTATTTATTCGTTTTGTTAACGATCTTGATCGATGACGACGACGATTACGACAACGTGAACTAACTTTTGATGTATTTAAACGACGATGTTGTTGTTGTTGTTGAAATGGACGAACTGGTGCAACACTAAATGGCATATCATGTACAATTGATTCATCATCATCATCAATTATTGATAATTGTTCATCAAAACTAAATGAACGTGGTCGAGGACGACGTATTTGTGTTGTTGATGATGGTGTTGGATGAATTTCTGGTTGTTGTCGAGTATCAGTTGAATGTGTACGTAATGATGCACGACGTAAATTCTGAGTATGTGAACGTGATGATGCACGAAATTGTGCATTAGATTCAATCATACCATAATCCGTAACAATACGTGGTATTTGATAATGTGAATTTGAATTTGATGAAGATAATAATTGAGCATTGAATGTAAATGGTGGTGAAATATTTTGATCACGACGACGAAAACCATGTAATAAACGTGAAAATATTGATTTTGGTTCATCTAAAATATAATAAAATTTAAAGAATTAAATTTTATAAATTAAATTTTTTTACTTGAATAAAGTTTATGATCTTTTGTTATAAATTGTGTTTTAATTTGTTGTGCTTGTTTACAAGGTAATGTTGTATAACCACCATCTAAATATTAAAAAAGAAAACAAAACAAATGTCTATCGATAATACTAGTTTTCTAGACTAACAAATTTGCTGTTAGATACAAGAAATTTATTTAAAAACTATCATAAAAGTTTAGTATAGCAATCTTAAACTCATTAAATTAGAAAGATTTAAGAAAAAAAAATTTTACTTTTAAGTAATAAAATTTTATCTTGAATTAATGTACCAATTGTACTATAAAGAATATCATCCGTTGGTAATGGAAATTCTGGATATTGTAATTTTAATGTTGTTTTTATTTCATCCATTGATACACTAGAACGACCATTATGTCGATTAATATCATTAATTATTAAACATAATACATTTGGTAATGATATAAGTGGATCACGTTCATGTCGTTTTACATGAATATTACTTAATTCAACTAGACAAAACAAAAAAAAGATTAAGCGCATTAATTATCGTTTGAATAGAATTTTCAATTGAATTCTATTCTTATGAAAACAAAACAATATAAAATTTCTTTATCAATAATATTAATTATTATTTGTATAATATGTATATGGGCAATAATATTTTATTTTATTCTTGGTTTATGTTATTTTTTTAATTCTGGTATACTTTTACAAGATTTAAATTTATATAAACAAACGAATAATAAATTATTTATTCAAGATATATATAAACAATTTTATCAATTATCATTAAATTGTTTTTTTTCTGTTATGATTTATTTTATTCTTTTTTTTATTTGTCTATTGATTTTACGATATCGAGAAAAACAAAAAAAAAGAAATTCATTTACCAAGATCTGAAATAATAAAACCATATGGTGCTTGTAATAAACGTTGACAATAAATACGTTTTATTATATTTAAATATTTTTTTGAACCTTTTATTAAAAGACCATTTGTACCAAGTGAACCACCAAATTGAATTTTTTCAAGTGTATGATATACTTCTTGATACCATATATGTGATTCACGATTTATTGTTATAAATGATGAATAAACATTACGAATATTTAATAAATTTGTATTAATTAATGATGATGATTGTTTTGAATCAATATTAAGTATAAGAAGTAAATAATTTTGAGATATTAATTTATCAAACATGATTTTATTTAGTGAAAATTTTCAATGGAAGCATACTGATTAAAAACAACAAAAAAAAACGACAAGGAATGAATACAAAGAACAATGTTCAATTGGCCAATTGAACTAAATACATGAATGTAGAGGGCGATAGATAATAGAAATTGTTTTTAGTAGATACAAACTTTTAATTTTATTGGTTGATATTTGAAAAGTCATAACTCGACTTCTCATGCAATCTTAACATAAGTATCACGTCTATTGGACATTTTAGGATGAAACTATGTGCAGATCTATTTTCTTGTATGTCAACAAATCGTGTGCTCAAATATGATGATTAAGCAAAGTTCGAATGTTGTTGGTCAGTAATATTATTTTTCGTCGTATGACTTTAAAACATAGGATGGTGGCAAAAGTTCATGATTTTGTAAAGATTTGGATAATTGCTTCACACATATCATCTACGTCCTTCTATCATAGTTACATGTTGACGGCTATGTGAAATGATATTGATATGATCAAAAATACTTTTCAAAAAAAATAATTTAAGTTAATAAGTGAAACCAAGATGATACATTACAATAAGGTAAAAGAGGTCCGATGACAGCTCTGGTTCGAAACAAAATCAAAAGTTAAAACGACTAATGCATATAATTAACTAGGTCCATAGTTTTTATACCTATTCGACACAATACTTCTATGAATTATTGTTACTAGTCGTATATGAAAGCTATCATTTGATCGCTGTCTCAAAATTTTATTTTCAACTAATTTGATGTATATTAATTAAGATTTATAACTTTTCTCGTTAGTTTTCCATTTTCTATACTCTTGAGAAATTTTATAGTTATGCATGTGTTTTATTTATGAGACTTCAAATTGCTTACAAATGAAGTGGAATACAAAAAGAAAAATACGATAGCATAATGTTAATCACATCATCATCATCAAACTATGACTGATGAGTTCTTCTGCCCTACGTTATTGTCATCATTTTATATGTATTTTCAGCAAATTTCAAGCATATTCCTCACAAGGATTTATGTTTCTTTTTCAGTTTTTTAGTGTACTCAAAAAGTGAGTACACTACTAAAATCGGTCTGTGTGTCCGTCCGTCCGGCCGTCCGTCCGTCCGTCCGGCCGTTAACACGATAACTTTCGAAAGGAGAGTCAGATTACGATGAAATTTTCTACACAGCTTAGTCTTGACAATATCTCGGTCGAGTTCGAAGATGAGAAGGATCCGCCAAGAAATGGCTGAGTTATCGAAAAAATTGTGATTTTTAACCAGACCATCCCTGAGGGGGGGTACGGGGATTTTTCGAAAAAAAATTTTTGCTCATAATTATTCACAAAATACGTAAATCGACTCAGTTTTTAACGCTGATTCTGAATCTGATATTAGTTTTGAACTGAATCATAGTTTTGTGTACTCAAAAAGTGAATACACTATAGAATAGTCAGTGTGTCCGTCCGTCCGGTTGGCTGTTTACATGATAACTTTTGACAGCAGAGTCAGATTGCGATAAAACTTTCTACACAGCTTAGTCTTGACAATGTCTCGGTCGAGTTCGAAGATGAGAAGGATCGGCCGAGCCGTTCCTGAGTGATTGCAAAAATACCCATTTTTCCCTTTAGCTTTCTGTGGAAAAATGGACCCATCGCCGCTTTCGTAAAAGATTTTTCCTATCATAGTCAACTAAAACCCCAACTATTATATACCATTCGATACAGAATTTCAAGAGCTACAAAATGGTATATAAAACATAAAGAAACAAGAAGGTTGACTCACCTATGACAAAGATAATTAAAGAGAACTAGCTTATATTTTTGTCCACGATCTAATTGATCCACAAATAGAGCTCTATCTTCCGATCACAGAGATGATACTTTGAGGTTTTCAGATATGGAGAACTCGAATGTGTACTGCACTTCCATCGAAATACTATTAGTTGCGCAGTGACCAATAGAAATGAAGTTATAGGAAAAACGACTTTCTTAGGGTAAATCAAGGGAAAGAGTTCAAACTTGAGCTGTATTTGGCCCATGTCCTATTGGTTTGGCAACGCGCAATAGAAATCAACATTTTAAATGGTAGATTTCACAGTATAATTTCGATATTCAGACAGTCTAGGATGATTGAGTTGTATGATTCACTTTTTGAAGTACACATAACTCTCGGATTTTAATCCGAAGTTTCCGCATTTTTTTTAATCTGTCTTTGCTGAAAGTAGTGTGCTCGTTTTTGTTAATGAAGAAATGCAGCTTCTGAGTTGCTACTTGTAGGTATAGGTAGTGTAATCTCAAAGAAAAAGACAGAAAAGCCAAGCGAAAAAATGGCTGAGTTTCAAATACTTCAATTTCATATTCGACTGTTAAACTTTTTCTAAGCAATTTGTCACAAAATTACGCATGAATAAATTAGTAGTTCAACTGTATTCGAAGTATTTGAACTCATGTACACACTCGAGTAAGATATTTTTCATTAATACTGTTATGTGAAACACTTAGTGGACTGGTTTCGAGATACATGATTAGTTATTTTCATTTTCTACTATATTCAAAA